GTATCATTTGCCATGTGCACCGTACAGCAAAAAACTTGAGTCACTAACATGCATATTTCTAGCTGAGGTCCATTTAGGCAGAGTTCTGCCTTGTTTCAGCTCTCATACTGTGTATTCACCCTTTCCCTGATCCACTAGTGCCATGTTTTCCACATTTCTGTGCTTTATATTGGTGAGTTCACTGTTTCAAATGGACCCAAGCATAGTAATGAATTGCTATGTAGTGTTTCTAAGTGTGAGAAGGCTGCGAGTGCCTTACTGGAGAACATGTCTGTGTTAGACAAGCTTTGTTCCAAAGTTATATGAGCCAAAGTGCCATTGACTGTGAGTTCAATGTCAATGAAGCAACAATGTGTATTAAGTAAGGTGTCTTTAAACAGAAACACATATTAACCAAGATTATGTACTGATCAGTTGATGAAAATATTGGGAGTAGAGGCTCACAGGAACCTAACCCTCTATTTCCCTTAGGAGCAATGGTTCACTATTTGCTAGTTCAGTGTTTCTGATAACTTCATAAAACATAGCTACTGGGAATAACAAAAATGGACTGTGTAAAATCTGATGTGATCAACATGGCCTGGTGAGTGGGAAGGTAAAGGTGTGACGGCAATACTTTGGAAACATACACGAAAGAACGTTTGACATGACCGTAAGAGTAGAAGAGGGCTTTAAAGAAGGATTGCTTTTGAGCTGGGATTTTAATAAATGAGTGGAAATATAATGAGTGGGCCAGGGTGCAAGGCCATTTAAGGCCCAGGGGACCATGTACAAAGGAAGGGTGGTCTCAAAGCTTGACAATCTCAGTGACTAAAGACGCCATTCAAATCATGGGCTCCAACTCAGCCACAGCAACGGTTTTCAGCCATTACCAAGTTTCCCTACATCGATGGGGCTGTGATCTCTGCAACGAGGAAGTGTGCAGCATGTCAGCTGTAAAAATTGGCTCAATATTCATAATCAGATCTGTTATGCTCCCTCTGAGGCCTGACCATGTTTCCTTAGAAACCCCTAGTTACATAAAGCCACTGTGGCCTGTAATTGGCAAGAAAACCCGCCACCTTTGGAAGTCAATACAGTAATGCCAGAGGGAAAACACTATATGATTCCTGGGGAAACAAGTGAAGTAGGAGGACAAATGGAAACTCCTTCGTATAGAGCAGCAAGCAGAGAACATTGTAGGGCTCTCTGACACCGAATCAGTCCGCCTCCACTCCCGGTCCTCAACTGTGAATCAGCCCACTAAGTAGCAAGTAGCACTTACTGCATGACCAGCATCACTCAAGGCTCTAGGACAGGGGTGGGCAAACTTTTTGACTCGAGGGCCACAATGGGTTCTTAAACTGGACCGGAGGGCCGGAACAAAAGCATGGATGGAGTGTTTATGTGAACTAATATAAATTCAAAGTAAACATCATTACATAAAAGGGTACGGTCTTTTTTTTTTTTAGTTTTATTCATTTAAAACGGGCCGTAGTTTGCCCACGGGCCGTAGTTTGCCCGCGGGCCGTAGTTTGCCCACGGCTGGGCTAGGAGGACACACACACACACACACACATATACACACACACACCTATTCTTTCTTTTACAGCTACAAAGCCCTCCCATCAACCTTCATTTTTTTTGAAGAGAAATTCGAAACTCCAGAGGCTTAAGTAACTTCTGTTCACACAGCTAGTGAGTGGCAGAATGAGGATGCACGCTCAGCTTTGATTCCACATCCAGTGGGGCTTTTATCTGTGTCTCAGATAAGGTCCTTTTCTTATCCAAGACACAGATAAAAGAAGTGTTACCGTAGTGCCACCACTAAGGTGAGGCATCGTTAGCACTGAGGGGAGGGGTCTTTGATGGCTGAAGGTGGGGAGGAAGTCATCCTAGGTGCCTATATAGGAGCAAAGGTACATAATCAGGAATGACCTTTCAAAGAACAAGGGGGCTTTTGCTGAGAAAGGGCCTCGTTCCACCTGCCCCAGGATGGACCTCAGAGGATGGAGAGGAGCCCTGGGTGGGATCAGCCTTGTTGCTCTATCTCCAGAGTGGACGCCCATCTTCCGTGATCCTATCATTCTAATCGTCAATAACTATAATCGGGGACTGGTTTGTGGCAAGAATAATTCTCAGCCTGGGGATGCTTTTCAAACGTGAGGGAGCAGAGCCTGGTCCATGGAGGGCAGCTCACAACCCGTGGGCGATGGTGGTAGTGCTCTTCTGATGATTCTCACTGCTGCCTCCTCTCTTTCTCCAAGTGCTCTTAGCCTATCATCGTTCTCTTTATTGGAGGCTCCAGTCAAGGCTGGCCCGCCCCTGGAAGCTCCCAGGGTCAAGTGCAGCCTTCTTGGTTCTTCACTCTCAGCCTCACTTTGTCCAGTCCCTCTAGTGCTGTGGCCACACTGAACCCCTTTGTGTCTCTACCTGGAGTGTCCTTGACCCCATTCCTACCTGTGGAAGTCTAGCTCATCCCCCAGGGTTCAACATAAAAGGGTCTGCTCCTGATTTCCTCCAATCACAATGAATGCCTTCTCGTGCTGGGTCCGTACCACCAATACCTCTATTCTCATCTGTTTCCTATTCTGCCTTGTCACAAACTGAGCTGGCAAGCTGTCCGTGTACTCTCCCAGGCTGGGCGCAGGCTCCATCATTTAGCACAGTACCTGGCACTTTGCCAAAGCTCAAGAAATCTCTTTAAAAAAAAACACTACACAAATAAGTGATGAGGGTGTCCTTGAAACTAGAATAGTTCCGTTTAAATTTAATTTAACTACGACATTAAAGTTCATTTTAGCAAATGTACATTGTGAATAAAAGCCGTCTGAAACTTTATCTCAAGCTACCTGGCTCCCTCAATGATAGCTTCATTTCACTATAATCTTTATTGTGCAAACCTCTAAACTTGTTATTAGTATCACTGATGACGCTGGAAGACTATTTCATCTGATCATTGTGTCTTAGGAAACACTTAACTGTTAAATTTCACACTGATAATTCGAAACTCTGTTATTCCACAGGGGGCTAGGCAATGCCATGAGGGTAGCCCTCAGTGCCTGAAACAGAAGCTGTCTTTATGTGCGTGGAAGTGAAATTTCCTGCATCAAATAGTCTCCTCTCACCAACCTAAGCTGTATTCTGAGGACAGGCGGGTGGAAAGTAAGGAGTCCTCTTGTTTTCTGAAATGATAGTGCTTTATGGGGTGAATGGCGTCTGTGGCTGATTCATCCTTGCCCTTCCCAGAGCCTGGCCAGGTTCAAGGTGGACGGAATAAATTTGATATGTTGGTGTGCAGGTGTGGGGGTGGAACGAGAAAAATTTTCTAATAGAACCACCCCAAATTAAAGTGGGTCGTCCTTGTAGGGAATGACAGCAGGGGCTGGGCCAGGAATGCCAGGCCTGGGCAGACACATGTGAAGAATGGGAAAGTGTTCATTCAGATCCTAAGGCCCCCTACCCATGGGGGGACTATTTCATTCTGACCAGACTGTGCCCTCCTGGCTCCTGTCTGAATTCTTGCCAAAACCCAGCACAGGAAGCCATGCCAAGTGGCTCATGGGAGCTTTTCAGACCCACCTATGGATTGTCAGAGGCTCAGAAAGAGGGGGGACCCGACCAAGCTCTCCCGAAGCTTCCTGCACTCAGCCCTGTCGGAGACTATCTATCAAGACGAAGAGTAGAGACTATCACTAGAAGAGAAGAGTAGAGACCCCCAAAAGCTAGTGACCTTTGAAGCCCTAGCAAAGGTCGGAGCTGTGCACCACCCAGTTAATCTAGATAATGGTAGCTGAAGCATTATCCCCACCTTAATTCACTTAATTCCTTAGATACTCATGTAAATCCTTGTTGATTATTGTTGATTAGATATTCTGCCTATTTCTGGAAATTGTCTGCTGATGAGCTAATCTGTGTGTCATTGAAACCTCTTCACCTTAGGGCTACCCCAGATCAAATAAAAGGTTGGAGCGGCCTGAGCATCAGTGGAAGTCCTTCTGGACTTGCCCGCCTGGTCCCCCAATATTTCCAAATTATCTCGTCTCTTTTCTCTTTCATTTGTGTGCGGCTCCTCTCTCAGACCCGAACCCTGGACCACGCAAGACGTGGAAGGAAACACACTCCACACAGCCCCGCCTGCCTTATGCTGCCAGCCCACACACTCCTGCTAGGGCACAGCTCCAGGCACACGCCTTGACCCCTTGTAGGAATCTAATAAATGTCTCAGGATGCTCAGGTTGATGGCCTGGAAAAGGAAGCAGGAGAAGCCTGAGCCTGCAGGACGGGCCCCCGCCCCCACAACTGGGGCTCTGACTCACAACCTGTTTGGCACTGGGCAGCCCTCTCTGGTTTCCTGAATCTCTCTTTAATGCAAAAAGCCTTCATGGCAGATGTTTTAGAACAATGATCATGACAATGACACGGTAATCCCTGCTTTCCCCTTGCATCATAGAGGTGGTTTTTTTAAGTGTTTTTGTAGACTGACTCTTCTGGGTAATTATATTTGAACTGAGCATCTGTGAAGACTTTTCTGGTGGTCTCCTCAGTTAGATCATTGCTCCCTCCTACCCCCCTCTGCCCCCCAGGACTGGGAACCTGTTACCAGTGTGAGCAGGGAGCTGGGTTTCAAATCCAAGGTGATTGGAGGGTGGGGATAGGGGTTGCGATGGTCTGACCGGGCGCAGGGGCACTATGTGAGGGTGGGTGTGAATCTAGGAATTGATTGCTGGGCCTTTCCTGTGCTTTTTGTTGTTGTTTGTTTCTCTTTTTGGACGGGAGAGTGGGTATGGAGGAATTCCAGGGCTGGAAACAGCGGATCCCGGCTCCCCCGGGGAGGGCGAAGCCCAGCGGCCGAGGCCGAGCGACGGGCAGGGGTGACCGCGTGCGCACTGGGTCCGCACCAGCTCCCGGGCACCGGAGGACCAGGCCGGAGCCCGCGGGGGTGGGGACTCCAGGGGCGGGGCGGGCCGGGCGGGGGCGGGGCGCGGCGGGCGGGGCGGGGCTCCGGAACCGTCTCGGCTGCGGTGGCCACTGGAGAGGCGTTCGCGGCGGCGGCGGTAGCAGCGGTGGACGCGCCGAGCGGGGCGGCGGCGGCTCCGGTGAGCGCGGCGCGGGCGCGGCGGGGACAAGGCGGGGACGCGGCTGGGGGGTCTGCAGGGAACGGGCTGTGGAGGCGCCGCTGAGCCCTGCATCCTCCCCAGCTGTGGGAGAGGGAGGGCGGGCTCGTGGAGGAGCCCGTCCTAACCCCCTTCTCCTGCCATCGCCGCCCGGACGGCCTGCTGGGCAGCCCACTGCCTCTTCTTCACAAGACAGCCTCTGGGTGTGTTCCCCACCCATCGACACCGCCCGGGGAAGGTCTAGTATCAACATGATGGTAGATAGAGAGAGACGCTTTCCCTAGTCACTCCTCTTCTTGTGTCTTGCGTTCGCAAATCGTCTTGAGGGAGGGGACAGACTTCTCCTGTTGT